GAATCCGTGGAACCTGTGGAGCTGGTAGAGGCACTGGCGCCCTCTGTCCCTGCTGTACATACTGTCCCTGTCCCTGTCCCGCTTTAGGACACTACCTGGTGGTATGACCATACTCTCCACAAGTGTAACAACTACCCTGGAAAGTACCAAATGGCCTCCTCTGTCGGTTAGCCTGTGGCTGACCCTGTCCTGCCTGTGGTCCCCCATTCTGTTGCCTCTGAATAGGTGCCCCATTCCGATGAGCATCTGAACCACCCTTGTGCTTCTTCCAAGGCTGTTGCCCTTGGAACTTGCCTTTGTCATTCTGCCGGTGACCATTGCCATTCCCCTTTTCAGCTGACTGATTAGTAGAGTCTTTATCTCCCCGCTTCTCACCACGAGCTTGTCTGATGTCCACAGTTAACTGATACTGTTGTAGAGCGGCGTCTACCACCTGAGCATAGGTAGTATAGGCTGGACTACCTGTAATAGCTCTCTTGATAGACCACATCAGTCCCTTGACAAAACTGTTGCGCTTCTTCTCCTCTGTATCCACCTCCTCCGGTGCAAAGAGAGACAAGCGTGTGAACTGCTGCTCATACTCCGCCACTGTCATGTTTCCCTACTGCAGATTTAGAAACTCGGTCTTCATAGCTGCCCTGACTGCATAGGGAAAATATTTATCCTCAAAGCGAGCACTGAACTCCTCATAAGTCAATGTCATCCTCTCCTCTGGGGTGGTAACTGACTCCCACCACTGTAGTGCATCCCTAACTAGCTTGAAAGTAGCAAGCATCTGCTTTTGAACCTCTGTGCACTGAACCAAACGAAGATGACGCTCAATGTCTTGTTTCCACTGGTGAGCTGCTCTCGCATCGGTGGAGCCTGAGAACACAGGTGGACTCCCCTTTGTGAAAGAGCTCCTAGCCTTTCCCCAAGAATCCGTCTGAACTACTGGTGCTGGTACAGGTGCCTGCTGAACCTGTGGTTGGTTCTGGAGTGCAGCTGTTACCCCAGCCTCTATAGCCCGAGCAACAAGGTCATTGAGGTGTGGAGGAATCTCTGGATCTCTGTCCCGACCCTGAGTCTGTTGAACTTCCTCCTGCTCCTCCTGAAACCCTGGCATTTGCTGTTCTTCTTCTATTTGCCGACGTTGCAGACGTTCCTGCTGTCTACGTGCCGCTCTCCTCTGTCGACTGTTCATGTTCTGTCCTCTTCCAGTGTTAACCATGCTGTTAACATAGAAAGACAGACATCAGTACGAGTTTAAACGAACCGTAAAAGAATTCAACGAATCCTAAACATGAGCTCTATATAAAAAAAAACGCTACGCGGAAGTCTTAATACGAAACGTCCTAGAGACACTTGAACCTGGAGTGCTCTGATACCAACTGTGATACCCCTCGGATCCGAGACACGGGTTGATCAGGCCCAGGCCCAAACCCGAGGGAATATCAAACAATTAAAGTATTTTAAAACGAACACAGATGACAAAAAGAACAATAAAGATAGAATAAAACTGCAAGAAATAATAATTATAAAATCCTTCATGTGTAACTGCAAATTGAAACTCCAATCCTTCAAAACTTCAAAGTTACAACTTGGGAATCCGCTGATGGACCCCTAACTAAAAATTCAACTGAGACTGAAACTGAAAATAGGTAATACTAGAAACATCGGGGAAAGTCCTACGTAATCCGGTGAAAGTGAGACTGTCCTCGACAAGCACGATCAAGCTCTAAGGCTGGAACCGTCCTGTACCTGAAAAGAATAATAAAGGAGTGGGTCAGACCCACGAGCAAGTTCTAATCTAACTGCAATCCATACAGTGACCCGATACGCAGATACACCGTAGACATCTCACAATATCTATCTAGTCCATACGTATAAATATATCCACACTAAGGGACATTCACTAGTCTATAATAGGGGTCTCAACCTGAATAGAAGGCAACATGCGAATACGCACCCAAAGGTGGGCATGAGTACCTAGACCTAACAGGGTACGCCTCAACCTATTATAACCAGCTACGCATCCACTGCATATACGCACCCTAACCAACGAGTCTGAGACTCAAGCTCAACTCGTGGTACCATAAACATATATATAAAGTCCGTCCAAATCCAGGGTAAGCAGTTTAACAATTTATTAAACTGACCTACAATAAACCAACTAGTTAGTCACTCAACTTATTCAGTGGATATGACTTAACTACCATCCGTTAATCCAGGAAGTCATCCAACTTGGTTACAGCTGATCTGACTTATTCACAATTAGGATTCGATATCTTACAATCCATTCCATTAATCCATTAGGTTAGGTCTTAGCGTTTTGAAGCTAAACCATCCCTAGTATGCCACCGTCCCATACCGGTGCATACAATCCTCCATATCAATGCCAATTACAGTATAGAAATCATAATTTAGTAAATTACATTCCAAAACATTATCCAAATAATTGCAGGAAGATATTTGATGTTCTAGCAATTAAAAATCCAAACGATAATCCATATCATTGCAGAAAGTATTTACTATTTCAACAATTAGCCCCCAAAGCATGCATAGGTCAACTTCGATACATCAATGACCCTATAATGTATTTAGAACAATTTATAAACATATTAGATCCCACTAGAATGCTCAAAAATAAGCTTGAGCAATTAAGTCTTCTTCCATCCCTTAATCGTGTACAATGTGCATAAATTTTATACAGTTTGTTCCGTTAATTTAGAGGTAAACTTTAATCAATTAAAAGACCTCTTAATACCCAAAGTTAACTTCTTAATCACCATGGCAAGTCCCAATATTTTTTTTAAACAGTTCCAACACACAACAGCTTCAAACAGTGCATTAAACACCTTTCGGAAGCAAACTGAGCGAGAACAGGTTATGAACAAAGGGGGAGCCGGCTCCAATTTTTATTGGAGCCTGCTCTACTTGGGTAGAGCCGGCTCTACACCTCCTAGAGCCGGCTCTACACTAGGGGGGAGCCGGCTCCCTCCTCCATGGAGCCGGCTCTCTCCCTCTCTGAGAACCGTCTGTCCGTCTGTGACTTCTGCGACCTTCTTCTTCAACGCCTGCCGCTTCCCACCCGTTCTATTTAGTTTTAGACCGTTCCCAAGGGTCCTAACTATGTCCGGTATAATCCCCATGGAGTGTTTACAATAGTTGAAATCAAAAACAAAACTACAAGTTCCACAGACAAATCATGCTTAGGAAAAACAACTACTGTAATGAACTTTCAAAACCCATCACCGAATTTATTCAAGGCAAAGATAAGGTTAAATTGACATATAAAAACATGCTTAATTCAATTATTGATCCATTAAAACCCTAGAGTATGGCTAGGTGCACAGAACACAGGCCAACGGGAAGGAGGAAGAAAAGAACTTGCCTGAAGTTTTGGACTCAAAACTTGTCGCCGTCTTCCCAATGTCCGGTAACCACTGCAACACTGTCTAGCCTCCTAATACCTCTGCCCTTCCCTTCTCCTAGGTCCAACCTTGAAATCCCCGTCGAATCCCACACCAAACAAAAACTGTTCTCTCAAAACCTCACTCTGTATCTCTCTGTTTTTATGTTACGCGAGTAGAGTTTTTTTTTCCAATCCTTAATACCAAGAAGCATGTATATATATAGGCGTACAAATCCCAAACCCTAATCCTTGTTTAATAGAGACAGAGCCCTCCTTGGCCCATAAACCGACCTATGATATATACATTGCCGGCTATAATTGAAACCCTAATATAACTATATGTGTCCCATACAGTCCCGTGAAAACCAAATTAAACAAAACAAATAAATTTACCACTTAAATAATTAACTATAATTAAATAAATTAAATCAAAACAATTAACTCAAATAAATATTAAAACACTTAAACAATTAAATAATCAAATTAATTCAACTAATCACACATAATCAAATAAAATGCAATTAACTACTAAATTAAAATCCCCAGGATATCCTTTTTAAAATTAGGGGTATTACAAAAACTATGTCAATTTTTAACATAATATTGTTAAAAAATTAAATAGATTATGTTTGTATTTTTTATTTTTTTTTAAAACAACCAGATGTGTCTTTAGGAAAATGAAAATACCTTGAGTTTGTTTTAATTAAATTATTATATTGGAAATTAATAAAACCTAAGATGAAAAAATATTTTAAATAAAATATAAAATTTCTTAAATTTATACTAAGGGGCATTTTTGTCATCATAACAACACTTTAATTGTGCATAATTTTAAGAATTTTATTTTTTTAAAAAATAAAACCTATAATAAATTTAATTTTAAAGAAAAACTAAATTTTCTTAAATTTATATTTTTCGGAAATTAAAAAGAAAATAAAATCTAAATTGAAAATCATTTTAAAGAAAATCGAAATTTTATTTAATTTTTATCAACGGTGTTTTGTGAAAAAAAAATTGATAGTCCTACGTAGAGATGGCAAATTTCCCATCTCCGCCGGAGCCCTGCCCCGCCGCCCCCTTTATAGCAGGGATATGGATCCTTTTAGCTAAACAGTGATGGAGATGGGGCAAATTATGAATCCCCACCAGGGTCGGGGGCGGGGATGGGGTAAATCCGCCCCGCCCTGATTAAGTGTGAAATTACTAATATACCTTTATATATGATAATTTATTACTAAATTAAATTTAGTATATATATATAAATAAGAAAAAATGTGTTTGTTTTTAATAAAAAAAATTATGGGTGCGGGGGCGGGTATGGGATGGTGGCGAAATTTTAAACGGGAATGAGGATTGAAAAATTCATTGGGGACGGGGGATAGGGAATGGAATTCCCGCCCCGTTGCCATCCCTAGTCCTTCGGGTGTTCTCCAATGTGAAATTTTTAGAATAAGGTTTTGTGCAAAAAGAAGTAGCATTAAATACTGTAATTAAAATAAAATAGAAATTAGAATAATATAGTTAAGAACAAAAAAAAAAAATGAAAAAAAGAAAAAGGCCAAACTTCACTTGTACTTTCCTTTCCTCATGTTTCCTTTCCTTTCCTTCCCCGCTCTCCATTCTTTGCAACACCCAGGTTGAAAATAACAATAAATCATAGAAAATTGTTTTCTTGAGAGAAGGGAAACCAAGTTCATTACTATTTATATAGGCGCCAACACCAGAGTACCTGTTCGCAACCTGGTTTCGCTCTGCTTTTCTCAAAAGGTTCCCAAATCGACGATTCATAATGAACGTAAGTTTCAATCCGTAAATCGGTGGTCTCTTTTCTTCATGTTTCTATCAAATCAAAAGATCCGTTTATTCACACATGTTTGTTTCTAATCTCTATGCAGTTAATCGACTCTACGCAAGCTAACAGCACTTTACTGGGTTCTGAAACAGCAGCATCAGAGAGAACACTGTTCGTACTCTCTCTATATATGTATATTTGTATGTTCATCTATCAAGGGATTAGAGATCTATATGAAGTTCGAAAATTAGGGTTACAGTGACTGTGCAACATAGGTTTTGGCCCTAATTGGGGCAAATTGGAGGTGAGGGTTTTGGGGAGGTGAGGGTTTGAGCTCCATGGTGGGCATTAGGGGTTGGGTGGGTGTGTGTGAATATATACGCACATCAATCACGGAAGAAATTTACTATTTTTCGGGGTTTTGTTTGTGAAATCATAATTTGGGTAGAGTATTGATGCAGGTATCCGTACGTGACCGGTACATCTGTGATAGGCATCAAATACAAAGATGGCATTCTCATGGTTGCTGACATGGGAGGTAGCTGCTTAAACTCTCCATACTCGAGTTGGCATGATATATATTTAATTTTTTTTTTTTCTATCAAATTTAATTAATTAATTTGTTTTGTTTTTTATTTTGATAATGTGATATTAATATTATACTTGCTTGGATGGGAAGTTTTTTCTTAAGAATTTCATTTTGTTAATTGGATGCATATCTTTGATTCCTCACTCATAATATAATGTCTTGCATTGTGGGTCAAGATGCCTTTCGGCTCTCATAGCAATTTACCCATTTGTGATGTAAACTTCTAAATGTTCATAATTTGTGTATAAGCCTTTAGTAGGCATTGGGTTTTTTGGGTTTTTGTAATCACTTGCACATATATATATATATATATATATTATATTCTGATCTCAATAACGTGCGTGTGATGGGGGTCATGGCATGACATTGCTTCATGTTTGTTGCACTCTATTATTTATTTTTCTTTTCTATATTTTCTGAATGCCCTTATTACATATAAAATTGTAGAACGACAATTTTGGTCTTCACGTTGTGGTTGAATATGTAGTTATCATATCCAATCCCGAATTATATAATTTAGCAAGCAAAAGTTTAGAACTAGAAAAACTTATAGATGATGCCCTCTGGAAATAGCTGCCTTCCAGTTCAAATGGTTTAAATATTGATGATTTTGCAACTGCATCATGGATTTAATTCCTTGGATGACCATGTTTTGGTAGCTACTAACTTGATCTCTAGGATTTTCTTACCACTTCATGGGCAACTTAAGTCGATCACCCCATTGCATGCTTCTACCATATCACTATAGAATAGCTGCTGTTTACTTGCATTGTTGAAAAAAGATTTTTGCCAGTGTAAAGCTGTAAAATTCTTCAAACGGCCAGAGGTTCTTGGTAGGATGGTTTACATTACAGAGTAGCACATAACTGTGGGTTTTTGTTGTTACTATTGATGTTCATGGATTTATCTTGATCCTAAAAATTCGAGTTTTAAGTGTGTGCTTTGTGAATAATAATAGAAACTTTTGGGTTTACAAAAAATGCCCCCGTGCTATGTCACAAAGTTTTTAATGGCTGAACTGTTGAAGTATAAAATATGAATGATAAGAAACTCGTATTTTATACTTTGATCACCAGAAAAGGAAAAAAATGAAAACTTGTGCGCTTTGGATTTGCAATAATACTTTTGGACTCTCCTCGTGTGTTTGACAAAGCATAAAATATGAGTTATTTTTGCTAAAAAAGAGGTTTCATTAACAAAGGGGTCAAAACATGAATAATGGGAACTTTTAAATTTTTTTTTTTTCCTAGTTGGTACTCACACACATTGCCTCCACTGAGGTTCGCACCCCTGACCTCCCTTTGGGAAGTAGGAGCCTGATACCGCTTGGCCACAGGCCTATTGGTAACTTTTTAATTTACAAAACAAAATTATATCATGTTATAATTTTTAGTTCCACTTTCCATTAGCTTGGGAGGTATCTCTCCGCCTACTAAAGTGAAGCTTGAGGGTTTTAAGTAGTGTGACACCTACCGTGTTAGAAAAGAAAAATATTGCTCTTATATTATATGATCATACATTTAAATATATATATGTATGTACAAATTTTTGTCTGAGTTCTGGTCTTGTCCACGTCTTACTTTTGTAGCAATTGCTGTTGCCAAGTTCGTATTTTGGCAAAATATGCTTCATAGATTGATTGTATCTGTATGCATATCTACAGAATCTGAGATTTTAATTTTTAACTCCATATTTTGAATTTGAAATGACATGTTGTCTAGGCTGTATTATTATTCATTTCTCCCCACCCCCCCCACCCCCACCCGCGGGCGCGGCGCAAAACCCAATTCAAGATGCAAAGATTCCAATTTTTCATTCATCCATTTTTCTTGAGAGACAGAAGTAGCATAAATTCTAGCCAGGTGTGTTTTGATGAAGGAAATTCTATGTTTTTGATCTTTCAACTCCACCTTGTGGCTCATATGGGCACTTCTTTTTCTTTTTTCTTTTTTCTCAAAGCTTCTACCATATGCACTCAACATTGTAATTCAGTGGTACTTTAGTTATTCAAATACGTGATATGATATTACAGCTTCCTACTATTTTATTGGTTGAAAGCTCTGAGTCAAGACAAGATAAAGGATGATAAATGATAAGGTTGTGGATAATAACAGTTTTATGTCTTGGTTTACTTTGCTTTTCCATAATTTTTAATATAGTAACATAAGCTGTCCCTTTGCTTCTTCTTCTTCCTTCTTTCTTTTTTGTTGTAGTTGTTGTGAATGTAGTTCCTTACTTCCTTTTAGTTTGGTAAATAGTAACACCACTTCAAGAGATTTTGTCCCACTCCACTGGTTCTTGTACAAATTTCATAGCAGTGAGAATAGGTGCCTGTAAATTATTTATTATTTCCTAGAATTGCCAGCTTAATGAAAGTCATAACTTATAAAGTTATGGTGTATTTACTGCATATACCATTGCAATCATTTGGTTAGAATAAGTTTTGGATTTGTGGTCTGAAGTCCACTGCCTAGTTGGTTTGTTGGGTTCGGTCTGATTCATCTGGCATCTTAATTACACACATGTCAATTAATATCCTTGTCCTTCCAATGCATGCATATGAGACAATTTCTCCCTCCCCCCCTCTCTCTCTCACTTTTCTTTCTTTCTTTCTTTCTTTCTTTTTTTTTAGTTATTTATTTATTTATTTATTTATTTTTTTGGGACTTCACACATATTCAATATTAGTTGGTCATTTATCTTACCAATCAAATTGTGCAGGTTTATATTTTTATACAAAATACATTTTATAGGGAAGCTTTTGTTTTCTTATTAAGTTATTTGAAAGACATATTTGGCAGATTTTATTTATTTTGTTGCTCATCTTATCATTTTCTCCATGAGTAGCTTCGGAATGTATACTGAAGGAACTATAAGAACTTAGAAGCAATTGTAGGAGAATTTATCCACTGAAATCTGTGGAGACTGGAGAGCGGTGCTCATGCTATGCGTCCAATGCTTGAAGGGGCTTTGATAAAGGCATCAGTAGTTCTTGTGGGTGCACTAGTGCCTGGAGATGGCTGGGACTTAATAATTTCAATTTTTATTGAAAATCAAAACTAATAATTTCATTGTTATTAAGGCAGATTTCAATTCCTTTTACTTCAAAGCAGGGACTAAATTTTCTAATGCCACATTCTGCTTGTAATATTACGAACGAACCACATTTTCCAATACCTTGAGATGCTTCTGATTCGTATGCATTGTTATCATGACAAAGTTATTTTTTTTTTGCATGTCATGTGATTAATACTTCTTTCACAGGTTCCTATGGGTCAACCCTGCGTTATAAGAGTGTGGAGCGAGTGAAGCCTGTTGGGAAACATTCCCTTATTGGTGCAAGTGGAGAAATTAGTGATTTTCAGGAGATTTTACGTTACCTTGATGAGCTTATGTAAGTATTTGGTCTTTTGGAATGGCTCTACTAAACATATACTGAATTGGCCATACTGTCCTTTCTTCATGTCATTATTTTTTGTTTCAATTATTATTTTGGGATGGTAGTGATTCCAAGTGTTTCTTTGAGTTCTGCCTAAGTGGCTCTTGGTCCTGACTGCTTCATATCTGCAGCTTGTATGATAATATGTGGGATGATGGGAACTCATTGGGGCCTAAAGAGGTGCACAGCTACTTAACTCAGGTGATGTACAATCGTCGCAACAAGTTCAACCCACTGTGGAATTCACTTGTACTTGGTGGAGTTAAAAATGGACAGAAGTATCTTGGAACGGTAATCCTTGGTTAATCCATTATCCTGATGCTTAGTGCTAAAGTATCTCAAGTTCGGAAATTTGGCTCATTTATATTGATAATTATGAATTTATCCAGGTTAGTATGATCGGTGTACATTTTGAGGACAATCATGTTGCAACTGGATTTGGAAATCACCTTGCACGGCCAATTCTCCGTGATGAATGGAATGAGAACCTGAGTTTTGAGGATGGTGTCCGATTACTGGAGAAATGCATGCGTGTACTTCTGTATCGTGATAGGTCTGCTGTTAACAAGATTCAGGTGTGGTTCTTTCACTATTAACTCACCGGGTGGCTCTTGGAATATATATGTACCCTATAGCATTTTATAATTTGGGCAAGTATATTCTTGACTTGTAATTATGGGTTTTCTATGAGTTGTTCTTAACTGAAAAGAAAATTAGATTGAACTACTAGTCCACTGAGGTTTTTGAACATCCGAAGCTGTAACATGTAGGCTGTTTCAAGTTCTCTCTCTCTCTATATATATATTCTGAAAATTCAAAATAGTTTATCATGTGAAATAGTTTAGTATATTGTTTTTGTTTAATTTTTTAAATTTCACTGCCTTATTGAATATTTGAGGAAGCTGAAATTTAAAAGTATTTTTATTTTTTCCCTCTTTATTAGGTTTCTACAATATTTTGATTTATATGCCGATATTTTCTATATCATTATATTCTTTAATCTAACTTTGAGATATCCTCATATATTCATGAAAAAATTGAGAAAATTTTGTGAATTTTTTTCTCAGCCATGTCTACTTCCCTCCTCCCTGTAGTCCAGATTCCGTATTTTTGCATCCCTATTTTTTGTTGATGCAATTGGTATAATTCTAATTTTAGTACAGGAGTGAATTGGGTCAAAGCTCTAAAAGCCTTAACGTGAAGCATGGGTTCTTAGGTGCTGCAACTGGGATTGTGGCAATTATCATATTGGTGCAAGACCTGCAATGATATATGCCCTACTTAAGGAGATTGACATTAAATACCACGAGCTTATTAATTTAACCAGACCATCTACTTAAGGAGATTGACATTACATAACATGAGCTTATTAATTTAACCAGACCATCTAATTGCTTTCTTTGCCTTCTGTGTCTTAGAAAATTATTTCATGAGATCTAATAATACTGAAAAAAGATTGTTCCACAATTGTATCATTTGATTGGATGTCTCTCAAGTTCCTGATGTGTATTATGCAGCATCAAGTCGTTGAGTAATCTTTTTTGATGCGTCTGATGTGATTTACATATACAAGATAGGAAGTGCTTGAGGAGTTTATGTCCTTGTTATATTTTGTTCTCAGAAAGTAGTTGGCTTTCTAATGCCTTAATTATTCGGTTGTGTGTCATATTAGAGTGAAATATGGTGCCCTGTGGTGGAAAATAAGAAAAGGCCCCTTATAGATGAACCATGTCAAGGATTGTTTTTCATCTTAAAAAAACAATTGCTTGTGTTGAACTGCTGAAATTTGTCTCTATGTCTATTAGTGGAGAAAATGGTTGGATGTGGCACTTTAATAGCTTTTTTTTAATGCATTAATATTTGGAAAATGCAGATAGCAAAAATCACAGAAGAGGGTGCAACAAGTTTTCCGCCCTACGCATTGAAGACTTTCTGGAATTTCTCGGCTTTTCAGAATCCAACTGTGGGTGCTGAAGGATCATGGTAGCCAGTTACTCGCCAAGTAGTGCCCAAAATGCATTTCGGATTTAAGAACAAAATACATGAGGCAGCCTGCTTTCGTCTATGTTAAATTATGCAACTTTGTGTTTTTATTAGAACTCCGGAGGAAATATCAACTTGATCTGTATGTTTCAATCTCTGCTCTTATGAAGTTTTTCTTTGGAACCAGTCTGGTGGCATTCAATTGAAACTGATCACAAACTTAGACCTCTCCATTTTTTTCCTTTAACAAAAAAGTTGAATTTTATTAGCTTCTCCCTGGTATTGTGATCGGTAAGAGAGGCATCCCAGTGCTCGAGTCTCCCGCCATTGTGGGGATATGGGAGGATGTACCCAACTAACCTTAAATTAAGTGTGTTTATCGGTGACAGTCATACATTTTGTGATGTAGTTGTGTTGCATTGTGATAGAAGTGTAGTTGTGTTGCATTGTGATGTAGATGCATTGCACCAATGCACAGAATCTCCTAAGGGAACATTGTGATGTAGATGCATTGCACCAATGCACAGAATCTCCTAACACAGTAGGGGATCCGGGTTCCCATAGACACAGTAGGGGATCCGGTTCCTATAGACAGGAGGATCCGGGTTCCTATAAACAAAGTAGGGGATCCGGTTCCTATAGACAGAGGAGGGGATTCGGGTTCCATAGATTAGCACTCTTGAGGGACCTGGATTAGCTTCCTATAGACAGGAGAGGGGATTCGGGTTCCCATGGATTAGCGCTCTTGAGGGACCTGAATTAGCGCCACATCCTGTATCATTCCAGGCACTAATAATAAATTGGGAGTGTAACATGCTATATCAAAATGCAATAATAATGTTGACACTTGTACAACACATTTACATCAAAGATAGATACAATACTCATGCAACATATTACATTGTGTTGGGATGTCACAACATCATCTAATTCAAGAATTTCGCACTTGTACAATTTCACACTTGTACGAAGTTATTGCGTTTAACAATTTAAAGTACTTGCATTGTCGATTTAAATGCAAAGGATAGACACAAGAGAGGATCCTGATCCAGAAGTGAGTCAAATGCATTTCCGAGAACATTGCTTATTTCTTGATCCAGAAGTGAGTCAAATGCATTCCGAGAACATTGCTCCTTTGCTCGTTTCACCCGATGATATTTTCAATCTGAATTTTTTGTTACATATAAAGAACATTTCCTTATTTTCAATGTAGTTCTTCTCTAACATGGGTAGTCTTCTATTGTTCATCTTTCTTCTTGTTTTACTTTGATCCCCGTAGACATTCATTCACTAGTCATCATTCTAAGCAACGATTCATCTATTGAGCGTTCAGCTTCCTCATCATCTGCTATGGTTGAAGTCCCTGATGATTTGGTTTCAGGTCAGCTGCTTTCATAAGAGAATCTCACCCATTGGATCAGAGAATATCACCATTTCAATTGGAGGAAAATCGATGAGAGATAAATATATAAATATTTATTTCCTGGCAAATCAAATACCAATGTTTAAGCTCATAATTGAAATCCCAGAGGTAAAAAATAAAATAAAACTGAAATTGAAGTAAATCTAGTAGTTTGACCTAGTTATGTTTGCAAGCACATAATCTGCATTTTGGATTTAGAATATAAGAAAATTTAGTTTCAAGTATAAGCTGAATTTTATCCGATATTAAGTATTAATTCGGTACTTTCAAACGTAACATTCAATTAAAAAACAACGATTTGATTTGGTGTTCTCTAAGGTAACATAAAGGAATAAATCATTAAACAGTTAGATTGACAAAAGATGATTTTTCCAAAAATAATAAAAAAAATAAATAAAAAAGAAGCGTACAGTAGTTATTTTCAAAAGGGGGGAAATAATGTATCTATTCTTTTGAGGTATGGGAAAGCCATGCATGATAAGGAAATGACTACTTGAAATGTCCATTCATCTTCCTCGAATGACTACTTGAAATGTCCATCCATCTTCCTCGAATGGCCAATTCAAATCCCCTGCTGTGAGTTACCTGCAGTCCTTTGTTGTGAACTGATGAAAGGTCTTAGTTTGGCCACGTGTGCTTCAGTTTGTAATATGTCTGTGGGCTCCAATAAATGGTGCAAAACGCATTATTCCGTTAAATCTGTCTTCCGTTAAACATCCATCTCTCGGCATCTCTGAAAAAGCCCAAAAGAGCCGGCTCTACAAATTAATTGAGCCGTCTCCAAAAAATTGGGTTAAGCCGTCTCCACATTTCTTCTTGAGCCGGTTATCCATTATTTTTTTCTTCTTTTATTTTTATTTATTTTTGCTTGGCAAGGAGCCGGCTCTAAAAATTCTGATCACTGGAACTCTGATCACCTTCACCATCAAAATAAGCTATTGACACAGTTCTGTAAAACTAATTTCACATCTCTGTAAAACTAATTTGACACCTAAATTTAACATTTTTTAATTCTTTCATTTGTCATTTGTTAGTGTAAATTATGATATTTTTCTACTTGAAATTGACATTGGTTAAGCATTCTAGCATATTTGAAATGTTGGATAATTGTAAGATTTTTTTCTATAATCTTCAATAACCATTCTAGTGAATGTAAAATCTTACATAATTATTTTTTTTAACTGAGTTGGCTTCATTAGGTACCAATTTGTTATCCAAATATTTTTTCTTCTCATGTATGCGGCAATTACACATTTCACAGGTTATTATGTAACATTTATGAGAAAAAATACATTGTGAAGTTTAATAAGTAGGGACACTGATTACCTTCACCATCAAAATAAGTTATTTACACAGTTCTACTAAACTAATTTCACACCTTTGCAAAACTAATATCACACCTAAATTTAACATTTTTTAATTCTTTCATTTGTCATCCGTTAGTGTAAATTATGATTTTTTTTTACTTGAAATTAACATTGGTTAAGCATTCTAGCGTATTTGAAATCTAGCGTAATTGTAAGATTTTCTTCAATAATCTTCAATAACCATTCTAGTGAATGTAAAATCTTCCGTAATTGTTTTTTTTTTAAACCGAGTTGGCTTCATTACGTACCAATGTGTTATCCAAATATTTTGTCTTCTCATGTATGCGGCAATTACACATTTCACAGGTTATTATGTCACATTTCTGAGAAAAAATATATTGTGAAGTTTAATAAGTAGGGACACTGATCACCTTCACCATCAAAATAAGCTATTCACACAGTTCTACAAAACTAATTTCACACCTCTGCAAAACTAATTTTACACCTAAATTTAACATTTTTTAATTCTTTCATTTGTCATCCGTTAGTGTAAATTATAATATTTATTTACTTGAAATTGACATTGGTTAAGCATCATAGTGTATTTGAAATATTGGATAATTGTAGGATTTTCTTCTATAATCTTCAATAACCATTCTAGTGAATGTAAAATCTTCCATAATTATTTTTTTTTAACTTAGTTGGCTTCATTAGGTACCAATGTGTTATCCAAATATTTTGTCTTCTCATGTATGCGGCAATTACGCATTTCACAAGTTATTATGTGATATTTATGAGGAAAAAAATATTGTGAAGTTTAATAAGTAAGGACACTGATTACATTCACCATCAAAATAAGCTATTCACACAGTTCTGTAAAACTAATTTCACACCTCTGCAAAACTAATTTCAAACCTAAATTTAACATTTTTTAATTCTTTTATTTGTAATCTGTTAGTGTAAATTATGATTTTTTTTTTTTTTACTTGAAATTGACATTGGTTAAGCATTCTAGCGTATTTAAAATCTTCGATAATTGTAAGATTTTCTTCTATAATCTTCAATAACCATTCTAGTGAATGTAAAATCTTGCATAATTGTTTTTTTTTTAACTGAATTGGCTTCATTAGGTACCAATGTGTTATCCAAATATTTTGTCTTCTCATGTATGCGGCAATTACACATTTCACAAGTTATTATGTCACATTTCTGAGAAAAAATACATTGTGAAGTTTAACAAGTAGGGACACTGATCACCTTCACCATCAAAATAAACTATTTATACAGCTCTGCAAAACTAATTTCACACCTAAATTTAACATTTTTTAATTCTTTCATTTTTCATCCGTTAGTGTAAATTATGAATTTTTTTTTTCTTGAAATTGACATTAGTTAAGCATTCTAGCATATTTGAAATCTTGGTTAATTGTAGAATTTTCTTCTATAATCTTCAATAACCATTGTAGTGAATGTAAAATCTTCCATAATTGTTTTTTTTTAACTGAGTTGGCTACATTAGATACCAATGTATTATCCAAATATTTTGTCTTCTCATGTATGCGGCAATTACACATTTCACAGGTTATTATGTCACATTTATGAGAAAAAATACATTGTGAAGTTTAATAAGTAGGGACACTGATCACCTTCACCATCAAAATAAGCTATTCACACAGTTCTGTAAAACTAATTTCACACCTCTGCAAAACTAATTTCACACCTAAATTTAACATTTTTTAATTCTTTCATTTGTCATCCGTTAGTGTAAATTATGATTCTTTTTACTTGAAATTGACATTAGTTAAGCATTCTAGCGTATTTGAAATTTTGGATAATTATAGGATTTTCTTCTATAATCTTCAATAACCATTCTAGTGAATGTAAAATCTTCCATAATTGTTTTTTTTTTTTAACTGAGTTGGCTTCATTAGATACCAATGTGTTATCCAAATATTTTGTCTTCTCATGTATGCGGCAATTACGCATTTCACAGGTTATTATGTCATATTTATGAGAAAAAATACATTGTGAAGTTTAATAAGTAAGGACACTGATTACCTTCACCATCAAAATAAGCTATTCACACAGTTCTGTAAAACTAATTTCACACCTCTGCAAAACTAATTTCACACCTAAATTTAACATTTTTTAATTATTTCATTTGTTATCCGTTAGTGTAAATTATAATTTTTTTTACTTGAAATTGACATTAGTTAAGCATTCTAGCGTATTTGAAATCTTGGTTAATTGTAGGATTTTCTTCTATAATCTTCAATAACCATTCTAGTGAATGTAAAATCTTCCATAATTGTTTTTTTTTTAACTGAGTTGGCTTCATTAGATACCAATGTGTTATCCAAATATTTTGTCTTCTCATGTATGCGGCAATTACACATTTCACATGTTATTATGTCATATTTATGAGAAAAAATACATTGTGAAGTTTAATAAGTAGG